GAGTGAACAGTAGACAAAGGAGCTCTCAGTCAGTTTACAGGTGTCTGGAAGAAAGAGCCTGAGGAAGCTGAACAGCCTGATGCCACAGCTACTCTCATCACCAACCTTTCCAGACTGACATATGGGTCACTATGAAAGTTTTGAGACAGACTGCGTGATGCTCCATCAGTTCTAAGAAACGCAGTGGGCAGCATCCGTTCTGATTCACCCATGCAGGTATCAGCCTGCCGGCTCATCAGTAATGTGGGGAGGGCTTTATTTGTTTCTGTCTGAGTGGATTTTATGTCTCTTGATTTTTGTATATCTCAAAACTTTCCTGCTCACCCATGTGTGAACACACTTCCAAATCCAGAACAGAACCTAAGAAACACCCAGCCCCAGCGTCTGAGTTCAGTGAACGTGTGACCTTCCCAGAGCTTCCGCCTCAGCCTCTTCCCTGTTCCATGACTCAGCACAAAGCACTTACAACCAAGGTCTCACAGGGCAGGAAGCACAGAGCTAATTTACAGGTCTGGAAAATGGACCATATGTCACCAACCTCTCATACAGGATTCCCCCACTCAGGACTGGGCAGGGATTTCCCCATTCTCTAGGCCCGGTGAGCTCAGAAATCAGACCTCCATTTCCAGGCACAAACAGGCGGCCTCCTCCAGGCCACACCGTCTACACTCTAACAAGATCATGAGCAAAGCAGCCTGAGTTTTTTTGGGGTGGTTCCACCTTGAGAAGGGAGTACACACTCCAATCCTTTCCCTGAGACAGAAACTCCAAAGACCTAATAACCTTGCCACAAGGGAGGGACTGCGTTCAACTTTGAAAGGGTATTTTTCTACCTACCAAATCCTGGCCAAAATGTCATTCTCCAGACAATATATACCCCTAGACAAAGGATCCAGGAAGATTTCTTTGCCAGAATTTCTGGTGCTTTTTACTCCTTCTGTCTAGTAAAATCCTATTTTACCACTGATCTGTGGTCTGTGGGTTCATTCTTCAAATCCTTGAGATCAGGACCCCCTGAAGAAGAAATTCTGGTAATAGCTCCACAGAATCAAAATCACCTGGATTTCAGAGGTTAACCAGCCAGGAGCTCTGCGAGGTTAACCAGCCAGGAGCTCCGTGAGGCTAACCACCCAGGAGTTCCGCGAGGTTAACCACCCAGGAGCTCCATGAGGTTAACCACTCAGGAGCTCCGCAAGGCTAACCACCCAGGAGTTCCGCGAGGCTAACCACCCAGGAGCTCCATGAGGTTAACCACCCAGGAGCTCCATGAGGTTAACCACCCAGGAGCTCCACGAGGCTAACCACCCAGGAGCTCCATGAGGTTAACCACCCAGGAGCTCCACGAGGCTAACCACCCAGGAGCTCCGCGAGGTTAACCACCCTAGGAGCTTTGCAATCCGGCTGGCTGAAATCTATCTCTGAGCATGGTTACCTGGGCAACATCAGGCCAGGAATTCCTCTTGGATGCCTAAATCTTTCCTCTCAGTAATAAGCCTGGTTATTAATTTTCACTGCCCGCTAAACACATGCCTTGTGGAGATCAAGGGTTTACACAATGTCACCATGTCAAGTATTCAGAATTCAGAGAAAAATCAGAGAGTCTGAGGCCTGTGCCCTAACGCAGCCTTCAACAGCCTTCTTTGTCTTTCTGTAGATGACTCTTCCCTCACTTACCACTTCACTGGGTGAACAGGTGTCTGAGAACTGAGATGAGTGGACAGCAGTCTGTGACCCAATAAACTAACATGTCACCTAGGAAAAAGAGGGGCGTACAGTGCTTGGGAAAAGCCATGATTATGACCGCGGGAGCCACACCTCTCCAGGGCTGGGGCACACTAAGGACCACGGGGCCCACACCTCTCCAGGGCTGGTGCACTAAGGACCACGGGGCCCACACCTCTCCAGGCCTGGGGTGCTCTGAGGACCACGGGGCCCTTACCTCTCCAGGGCTGGGGTGCGCTAAGGACCACAGGGCCCACACCTCTCCAGGGCTGGGGTGCTCTGAGGAGCAGCTTTTTTACCTGCCAGGCCCAGCTGAGTTGACAGGAGACCCAGAAGCACCATGGTGTGTGGTGGCTCCTCCATAACTCAGCCACATCACCTCAGAACTGCCTCTCTTGCTAGAGAACAGGGCACAAGAGACCAAGAGAGTTCTGCTTCTGTCCAGGGCTGAGCCAGGACAGTGGGCATTAAAGCCCCTCTACGATGCCTGCCCCACACCCTCTCCCTGAGCTAAACTGGGGCTCCCATGGCCATCCTGCTTCCTGCTAACTTTGTCCCAAGGACCTCTGGTGTGACAACAGAGCAATGTGTGTGATTCTCTCTCCCTGAGAACAGTGGAAAGTTCACCTTGGAACTCTCAGAGTCCAGTAAATGTTACATCCTCATCTCATCGTCCTGTATTTCTCCTTTCTCTTCTCAACTAATAAACTAAACATCCTATATGTTATGAAAGTTGTGAGACTGTAAACAGAGGCACTTCAGTTTTAAAAAGTCCCTGCCAAATAGAGCCAGGGAGGCCATGAAGATAGTTCTCAGGCCTGACACCCACAACTGCCATAAAAGATTGCAGAGACCACAGCTTTGCACAAAGACCATCATAGCCTTACACAGAAAATCATTTCTGCAAGGACATCTCCCAGCAACTGCCTGTCCAACCTTGGACTGCTGCCACCTTCATTTTGACCCTTACAGCCAGGGATGTTTATCTCAAAACAGTGTGTCATCCTCCTCGTGCTTTAAAATCCTTGGCCTTCCTTTACTTGTAGAGTCCGCAGTACACACATGAGCTTTCTATGGCACGGCTATTCCCGCTCCAGTGCTCTGTTCCCAGATGAGCATCACTTCACCATAGAGAGCCTCTCTGTGTTTGTTACTTAGAATAACATATGAAAAGCTGACCGTGACACAGTTTGCTTCAATTCCGTCACTGCCTATCCCAACATGCTGTATGGATTCGCCCTGTAGGAATGAACCCGTTACCCAGATAAGGCATCCAGTCTTGGGAGACTGAGAACTCACTCACTATAGCAAGAACGGTGCCAAGCCATTCATGCAGGATTTGTCCTAAAACTCAAAGAACTCCCACTAGCCCCCAAGTCCCACCACCACCACATGGGGGGTCAAATTTCAATATGAGCTTTCCTGGGGACAAACCAACCATATCCAAGCGACAGCAATCTCCTTGTCAACATGTGCTGTCCAGCCATTGTAACGGCATCTTGTGATTTCAGTGTGCATTGCCTTGACGTCCAATGTTGTCGAACATCTTCTCACGAGCATGTCAACTACCGGTTTCTTTTTTCGTTTCTTTTCTGTACATCCAGCAGGCTTGTGATATGAGTGGGCTAAACAAGGGCCCCATAAGAGCAAAGGCTTCTGTGATTAGTGACAAGTGAGACTATAATAACCACCCATGTACAGAGCCGCAGCGGTGCCCGTACCCACTCCAGGCAGTAAGGCCTGACAGAGGCACCGGCCGAACCCTCTGACCTCAGGACGCCTGTGATTTGTGCTGGTGTGTGGGGTGGTGGTGGTGGTGGTGCCTGTGTTGCTGCCACAACATGCCGGGAGTGTGTTAGTCTAACAGGGCAGGGAGGATGTTGATACTGGACAGGTGGCACCCCCTCCAGCTTAGCCGAGCCAGGCTGGAGCACCTGCCACCTCTATCTTGGTGGTGTTGGCAGCTGCTGGCAGAGGAACCAGCAGCCTGGAGCATAGGCAAGAGGGGGGAGCCCCCCTCCCCTACTGGAGGCTCCAGTAGCCAAGGGACTGGACACCAGCAGGAGAAGACACTGGTATCTCCTCTTCCTCAGTGCATCCCTTATTGGTCCATTTTCAAAATCTGCTCCTGATTGGTCTATTTTCAGGACCCTAAAGCTCACTGGACAACTGCCCCTATCTATATAAGTCCCTAAGCAGATAGCCCAAATGCAGACCTCTGCAGACTTCTGAGAGAGAGAGAGGGGGCAGAAAAGCAAGAGCAAGAGCTATAACACTTGTACTGCTGATCCTGCTCCACAAGGAAGCTTGGTTCTTTGTAAGAGCTGTAACACTTGTATTATTAAATAAAACCTATCCTGGGTCCCTTGCTTCATTCTTCAAACTGCCGAGACCAAGAGCCTGGAAATCCAGTATCGAAAATCCGGTATCAATGTCATGC